TTTTTTTTTTTTTTTTAAAAAAAAAAAAAGCTTTTCTAAAAAAGTCACATAGCGGTGCTGATTAAAATACTTTTCGAATATACTCTCTTTTTAAGCTTCAAAACGTCATAAAAAGTCGATTTCATTCAATACAAGCTAGAGGGTGGCTTATATAACTGAGAGGGCCAATAATTGGCGGGGGTGGGGGGTGGGGGGCAAGGGGAGGCTTATAAGCGGAAGTTAATGGTATGCGAATACATATCATTTTAATTATGATTTGGGAGAAATTAGGCATCTCAATCAAGGTAGTTTCGTAGTCAAAATTTCCAGCCGGGAGAGGCCGAAAGACAGGCCGCCGATTTTAATAAAAATGGCTTTTGATTTGTCAATTAGAAGCCGGAATTTCTATGTACTACAAGTTATTAGGTTCGGCTCATGAAAGGTTGACAGAGGCTTAAAAGCGTCTGTCAGTTTGTGTTACTGTTACCAGAGCAACAGTTAAAGGTCAAGATCTTCAAAAAATTTAAACATAGAAGCCACCCGCCTTGTTTAGTCAACAAACAATGAAAATTGCGTAGCTTTCTAAATCCTAAGTGATTATGGATCGCGAAGATAACGTGCTTTTTGCTGCCAAAACTTTGTTGACTAGACTAGTAAGACTACATTGACGGAACCGTGATTTTAGCTCGCTAATTTTGCCTTACCTCATTGTTTAAGCGCGGATAATCGCACACTGTTTATCGTTTATCGTTTTAGCAGAAAACTAAAAACTCCAAATAGGTGATCTGAACTCAAACTGTGAGACACCCAATTTGTAGCCTGCGGAACAGGTGCTATTAACAAGCGCATTCAAAATTTCTTAATACTAGTTTACAAGAGTCTATTTTTTAATGAGTATCCAACTAATATGAGGAATATATGTTTACTGATCGCCTTATAATTAGCGCGTTACCCATACATTGAGTCTAAGCACGCCTAGAACAACAACCTATGGACCACACTTTTTTTCTTATTTTTCCGCCCAGCAATGAAACGATCTTCCCGACGAATTAAGGAAGAGTACTTTTAATGATTTTAAGCGACGAGTGCAAAGTCTCGATACGTTTGATTAGTTTTCACTAACTTTTTGTCTTATTTTGTGTGTATTTTTTTTCAGTTTTACATATCTTAATTTGTATCTCAGAGATATTAGCTATATAGTTTAGCTACTCTAGGGTATGTATGTATGCATGGATGTGTTGACTTGCAATCGCGTCCGCCTCGTGCTCGCCTGAAAAACACTATAAGCTAGGGCCTATTCTGCAGACTACTTAATTTGTAAGATGCGGTTGTCTTATTGCGACGGCAGAGGTATTTCGGGTCGTCTCTTTTATCTGATTCCGATAAGAAAGCAAATCAAATGATAAATTACATGCATTATATATTTTACTTCCCCAGGAGCCTATTTCTGTGACTTACGCCAACATATACCTGCATGCCGGCTCTTGAACAATCTACCACCTCTTGTTTGGAAGGCCTTAAAAAGTTCGTTGCCAACCTGAAAGAACGTACCCTGCTGGACCAAGACGAGTGTCGCTGCAATCTCTGCTCTAGTTAGTTTTCCTAGTTGTTAAGGTGGCCCGAACCCCTATTTATATTCGTGTTGGTCATGTTTTTGTATCAAGTTTTTCGGCAGAAAAGATTTAACCGATTTCTACGATTTTTGGCATCTTTAATAAAAAATAATTGAACTTTAAGAAAATCTTATTGATTTTCTCGTAGGTACAAAAAACGTACATGTTGGTAGTTTATCAGTTAGTAAGTCAAAAAAAATACACAAGAGTACCTGTTAAAACTCCGAGGATTGTACAACTCAAAAAGCGGGTTTAGAGGAGCATATAAGAAAGGGGAAGGGGGGGGGGGGGGAAGATTAAAAATATCGGGGGGGAGTTTTTTTTTTTTTTTTTTTAAAAAAAAAAGCTTTTCAAAAAAAGTCACATAGCGGTGCTAATTAAAATACTTTTCGAATATACTTTCACTTTAAGCTTCAAAACGTCACAAAAAGTCGATTTCATTTCAATACAAGCTAGAGGGTGGCTTATATAACTGAGAGGGCCAATAATTGGCGGGGGTTGGGGGGCGGGGAAGGGAAGGCTTATAAGCGGAAGTTAATGGTATGCGAATACATGTAATTTTAATTATAATTTGAGAAAAATTAGGCATCTCGATCAAGGTCGTTTCGTAGTCAAAATT